AGTTTTGGGTTTTAATATATTTTTTCCACTGGGTTTTTCGAACCATGTTCTAATAAATAATTGGTTTTCGGCCAGTTAAGTGTTAAACAAAAAAATGTAGATCTGTTTTTATTATATATAAAGAAACTAGCATTTAACAATCGAATACAACAATGAATCAAATCATTTTGATAATTCAAAAATTAATAAATGCATAAAAAGTCTAAAAAATAGAGTTGTGTTGTTTCAAACAGTCACTTCACCAAATTTTTGTTTATCAAAGAAAAACTTCTCACCTTGACACGAAATTTGTTTTGCAATATATTACTTATATCTTTATCAAATTTATCACAATATCAACTGTATAATCTTTTTACAAAGAACACCAAGTGATAGAAATAATTAAAAAAACATTAAAAACTTAAAAAGTCTGTTTGTTGAATGTTTCCACCATTTTCCTATGTTTTTTAAAGCGGAACCCCTTACCTTTGTAAGCGAAAGTAAACTACAAACGAATTCATACTGACAAATAAAGTGGGTGATATGGGAAAACACAAACAATAAGAAGTTGACTTCCTCTAAAAACAATTATGGCAAATATTTTATTTTAGTAAACTTATCAGACTAAAGGCGATCACGGTGAATCTATTTATGTTGATTATTTTGGCTTTTTTACTAGGGAAATAAATATAGGACTGTTATTATTAAAAATGAAAAATTTTGAAAATAAAATTTTTCCTAATAAAAATACAACATACTTTGCTCCAAATATAAAAAACAAATTATTTGCAAAATAATATTTTATATTTTGAATCAGTTTCTCGACATTTTCTGTTAAAAAAATAATTCTTGTTATTTTTTAATAAAAAATTTAATATATTTATTAAATTATATAGTTCAAATAATTATTTTTACAAAATATATATAAAAACCGCAATTGAGTTGTGTGAACGGGGAATTTGTATTGATTGATGGAAAAGCGTTTCCGTTGATCTTGCGGAGACTTTGGATACATTTCCGTAGCTAGTTAGTTACAATTAACACAACAATGAAAGTCCACCGCTATTTTTCATCAAATTTTTTTTGTTAAGAAAAAAAAACGTGAAAAAAATTGAAATAGTATATTCAATCGTAAATAATCTATAATACAAAAACATTATCTATATATAAAAAGTGCATTTTTCATCATCTAAATATAGAATAATTAATATAAAAGAAAAAAACACATTGTACTAATAATTTGTATTATTATATATAATATCGTAATAGTACACCATTCATGATCGTTTATTATATCATTTAAATTATTGATTTTAACATGTTTATCACATTTATCAATTGTAACACCAACAATAAAAAATCGAATAGTCAATAACAATGTTTGATTGCTATCACAATTTGTTGTTTTTGCTATTCATATTAAATAAATTGATTGTTTGAATATTGATGTAACTAATTTTTTATTGTTCGACATTATATTATAAAATATCATATAAACAAGTGATAGAGCTTGATACAATGATATAACATTAATATATTAACGGTTTTAACATTTTTAATGTGAATTATCATTGAACCAAAAGGTAAAATTATTTATTGATATTTTAAACTAAATAATTTGAACAACAAATTGTGTTATAATTATTTAACATGAAACATCGTAAAATGAATGTTTTGTAAATTGTTAAACTACAAATTTTTAATATTTGTAAATTAATATTTTGATATATACATTTGCATATCCTTGTATTAAGAATCACTTTATCAAAAATACAATAAACAAAAAATACATTTTTAAACACTCATAATATGTTTTTATACTTTTCAATGAATCAGAATTAAATCTATATGAAAATCACTTTAAATGTTAGTATTGTAATATAACAAGCTTAAATATTCATTTTCTTGATTAAAATAACACTAAAATAATATAAACATAAATTTCAAGCAATATCAATTTGATTGATAATTAAAAAATGTATGTTATTTTTTTGTTATTAAAGTTAACAAACAAATACAGAAAAACTTTCAATGAATTTGTGAATTATCAGAATTGTTTATTAAAAAACAAAAATAACCCATTATTAACAATATAATTTGACATACAAATATTACACCTTTGAAAACTGTTTAAATGTTGTTTTTATTAAAGAACAAATACCCGTACATATTATGTATAAGAAAAATAATGTTAATTAAACACAATAAACAAAAAAAGAGTTTCAATTATGATATACCTTCTCGATAATTCGATTCGGTTTTCATAGCTAGGAGTAGTCATTTGCCATAACCATCTCTTCGCCCCCATTGGTTTCATCCTCCGGGTTTTCGTTTTCGTTTTCGCTCTCGATTGAGTTTTATATTTCAAAAGAGGCTTTTCCATGACTCATGTAACTCATAAGGTCTTTCATGCATGTTATGACAACACGCTTCAGCATCTTGTTGTAGTCTACTTTGATCTTGAGCACTCTTTCGAGCCTTTCGACTGACAACTTGTTGATTAACCCACTGATGGTTAGCACAACATGTATGTTCGTTACTGTTTGCAAGTTTTTGGTTCTTCTCAGTTTTTCGGCTAATATTGAGTATTTTGATATTTTTCTAAAGTAGGCAGTGGATAGATTTTCATCTTTTACAATCGTTACATCAATAACATACCCCTTCCTGTTCTCATTGTTCTACCAGTAAATGTCAGGCCTTCGGGCAAAGCTTGCTCTGTCATCACACAATATATTCATTTCGGCAATTAGGACATTTACTTCACCTTCATCTGTGAGGGTTTTAGGAGGCGTACCCAGATCCATTTCATTTGTGGAAAGCTTCAGCTTCTTGATCAAAGCCACATGGATCATTTTGCAGACATAGTTGTGCCTGTCAATCTGGGATTTCTTGGTCATTGGGCAGCTCAGTAATACGTGAGGTATGTTTGCCACCATGTTTTTACAACAATAGCACTTTTCATCACCCTTATTCTTTGTGATTGCCAATTTTCTGTGACCAACAATGGTTGCATATCCTTGCATTCTGACGACTTGAATGAATGCATTCCTTTTGATGTTGCAGTTCTTCCATGCTCTGCCAGAGATCTCTCGATGGCACATTTGGTGGTTAAGCATCTTTGGGAGTATGCCAGCAGACTTCTTTGCCATCCACTGTTTCATGTAGTAGTCATTGATTTTTTGACTCACATGCTCGAGAACTGTGATAATTGACTTATCTTTTGTGGCTTCGTTTTCAATGCACTCTTCAATCTCTGTTTGTGTGATTTTCTTTTTGAGAAAATTGACCGCTCTTTTCATCAAATTGTCTGGTGCATCACGCGTGTGTTTGAGCAAATCAGCAATGTTGGAATCACTGTGCCAAACGTATTTCAGAAACACGCGGATTAGTTCTTTGCCACATTCATCTCTGCAACCTCTGAGACCATACCCCATGTCAAGTTGGTTGACATACAATCGGTATTTTGTCAAGTCTCTACCATTCAATTTGTGTTTTGTAAGGAACTTTCGGATTTTGAGGTCTAACATATCCAACTGACCTAATAATTAAACACAATAAATATATTATCTAAAAAACAAAATTATCAAAAATTTAGTACTTTTGACAATTCGTATTAAGGTTTGTAAATCTGTATAAAATTGATTATTTAACAAAAAAAATAAATATTGTAACATGTAAACTGTATCACGCGTGTCAAGTTTCTTCAAAATAAGTTTACGTTTATTGTTCAAATTACAAGTGTTGTAATAATTTAAACGAAATAATAAACGATCATGAATGGTGTACTATTACGATATTATATATAATAATACAAATTATTAGTACAATGTGTTTTTTTTCTTTTATATTAATTATTCTATATTTAGATGATGAAAAATGCACTTTTTATATATAGATAATGTTTTTGTATTATAGATTATTTACGATTGAATATACTATTTCAATTTTTTTCACGGTTTTTTTCTTAACAAAAAAGTTTTAATGAAAAATAGCGGTGGACTTTCATTGTTGTGTTAATTGTAACTAACTAGCTACGGAAATGTATCCAAAGTCTCCGCAAGATCAACGGAAACGCTTTGCCTTTAATCAATCCAAATTCCCCGTTCACACAACTTAATTGCGATTTTTATATTTATTTTGTAAAAATAATTATTTTCATTGTTTTTTAAAGAAATAATCTTTCGATTGCAAAATAATTAATATATTTTGATTATATATACTATATTTAATTAATTTTATAAATAAAAATAGGGTTGTTTCTTAATTAGTAAAAAAAATGGTTATTATTAAAAATCATCATCATTTATAGTAAAATTAATTTTTTTCTTTGTTATATTTTTAAAATCATCACCATTTAAATAGAGTTCAAAATTCACTGTGATATTTATTTTCATAGTGATTTTTACACTTCATGATGATTATCAAATTCACTGTGATCGCCTTAAGAAAAGCTGTTTTTTTTTCATTATAATTTGGTAATAAAAAAATAAATAGTTTTTATTCAAATATATATTGTTTATACAATAACACTATTTGTAGAAAATATTCATTTCATATTAATATTTTTTAGTTTAAAAAACGAATTATCAAAATAAAAAAAATATAAATTGATGTACTATAAATAATAATAAAATGTAGTATTATATTATTAATAAAAAAAATATTTTCAAATTTAAAAACATTTTTAATGATGTATCACATTTCGCTAAACTCAATTATTTTTTAATTAAATTAAAATTTAAATATTTTTGTTATTATTTTTAATAATTATTTAATTCATAAATTTTTTGTTTCTAAAACATTCTGATTCAACAATAGTTCTGAAATATAACAAATATCCAACCTTCAATCAATTTTTCTTATCACATTTAATAACAAAGACAAAAACAAATAAAAATGTAAACATGAAATAATAATAAATACCATTCTTATATCCACAAACTTTCATAAATATATAAAAAATGAGCGAAATGGAGTGATATTTAAATGAATAACCAGATTGGTATCTCAAACAAACTGTTATGGGTCCATCCCCATCCACCTCGGTTTCATCTTCTTCTATTCGCTCGGGCTCCGTCGCGCAAGTGATCGAAGCAAAAAAGCAAAAGCGGACCAAACTGAAATTCAAGCACAAACACAACAAAACGGAGATGTTGCCCGAAACGATTGGAAGTAGTGAAGAAGAGATTTTGGAAGAGGAAGAAACTCTATACCAAATTCCCGACATTGAAGATGAAGAACTGATGCACTCGAAGTCGGTCTTCACCCCTAAAATAAGAAAGACGTTGTTCTCAACACCAAAACTTTTTTCGAACACACCAACTCCAAATATCGACGACCGATCACCGCGTTTTAAAGGGACAAAAACACCAAAACCAAGAAGTTCGAAAATTTCTACGCCGTCACTGAATTTTGCATCGCCAAGACTTCGACCAGCAGACTTTTGCGCGACTCCAACGGCTCCAGTACTCCACCAAGAAAAAATCGCGTTTATTCAGAAAGAAACAAACAAAAAGAAATTCACCACTATATATAACAGCGAAATAGATGGGTTTGATGCACGAGAGCTGAGCTCTCGTGTGTGTTGTCAAACCAATACATTGTTTGTAGTGATAACGGATAATGAGCAGTTTGGGTTTTATAACGAAGACTTGATACCAATTGTGAAGAATGAAACCCTCCAAGTCGAGTCGAAGGATATGTTTCTGTTTGTGCTGTCTGGGAGAATTGTCCAACCAACTTCTTTTCGACGAAATGAAGGCACAAGAAGTTTGACACTCTACGCCCCTTCGGAAAAAAATTTCGTGGTGACTTGTTTCTGTGCTTTTTGGGTGACTTCTGATGGTAAGATATACGTCCACCATTTAATTAAGGAAATGTATCCAGGACTGAAAAATATGACAAGTCCACTCATCGAGAGAAACGTCTCTGAAAAATTCTCGTGCAAAAGACTCGTTGCAATTAAATGTGAATAAAACGTTCTGTCAATTATCATTGTAATTTACTTTTTTCTGTGTAACATTGGTTTTTGAATTTTTAATGGCATGTTATAATAACTTTGACTAAGATTATTTTACACAATTTGGATCTTGTTGACAGTTGTATTATTTTATTATATAGAATCAAAAATATAGTTAAATTAAACTATATTAACTAATTTGTCATAAAAGTTGAATATATGTGACTGCACCTTTTTTACAGAAACACGGAAATAAAGTGCACGTTTATTCAAGACTTTTAGGATATTTGTTAAGTGTAGCTCATTTATTGGTTGTAATTTTTTACAAATAGGAATTATACCGACAAACTTTCCCAATGAAAACAAAAATTGAAAACTGGTAAATACAAGCAATTTTTTATTTTATTAATATCATAAAAACCAGGAAGGGTTAGCAAATAAGAGAAAACTGAGAAAAATTCATCCTCGTGGGCTGGTACTTCATTTTTTGAAAAACTGATTGGAAAAACTTTTATTTTTTTTTAAAGCAAAAAAATACCAGCGACATATTTAATTTTTAATTACCATTTAATTAAATTATTATTACTGTAAAACTAATTTATTTCTTTTAAACAAATTAATAATCACAAATGCTAACATAAGAAATTTCTTCTTATTGAACGTTGTTAATTTTTACAATAAAAAAGTGTGAAAAAACTAATAAAATCCCTTTCATAAAGGGTTTTATTTGTTTCATTTTATTTAAAAGTTCAAGAAACTCAACTTTAATAATCGAAAATGAAAAAAATTAAAAATAAAGAACAAAAAATGCTTTTGTCGACATCTTTTTAGGACAATTATTATTCTTCCCAAAAAAGAAATATAATAATAGCTTTACTGTTATTTTTGGTCATTTATAAACACCGTAAATGAATGGGAAAAAGACGATAACATTCCATTTAAAAATCAATTGTATAATTAATGTGTAAACAACGCAGTTATGAACAGATAGAAAAAAAATATGAAGTGCGATTCACCATTCAGCATTGTCACCCAACGGTAATCAGAATTTCATATAATTAATGTGCACATTTATTCAACTTCCAAAGAAGGAAAAGAAACTAAGTGTGTCTCAAGGATTTCACTATCAATAATTTTTCTTATCTAATATGTAACTCACCTCTCTAAATGCCTCGCTAGAATTGTAAACTCGACAACTAATGTAATAAAGCAAAAATAAGAGGGAAAATAGGCACGTTCCAAATAATAAGAGAAACTTGGCATTTTCAAGGATAAGGAAATACCGAAGACAAAAATATGAATTTAAAAATAAATAACTATAATTATAAAAATAACTTTTTCTACCTATAAATTGGACTAACTGCTCATTTACAAAGAAGATGTCGCGAACAACAACTCACAAGAAACAATCCACAAACAGGAACGTCTCCGTCGACCGAGAAAGACTCTCTAATGCCACAATTATCGGCCTTTTTGTTATTAATGGGAACTCAGTCCAAATAAAACTGCCCTCCAAAAAGTCCATTAACACTTTGGCTCATCTAACTATAGCCAAAGCAGACATCAATGGTGTTAATGTCAATACATTAGTTCAGAAGCAGTACGTGTTTGATCAACATTTAGACAAGAATGGACGTCGTGACTGGGAAGTAGCAATATTCAATGCACTGTCGAGAACACTTTCTGGGTCTCAATACAAACTGACGAAGAAGTCCAACACGACCAAAACAATTAAGTTAAGAATATTCAAGGAAATTGGTGGAATGAATAAAGATGGCGTCGCTTTATTTGGTAAAAGAATCACTGAGGCTATATTAGCCCGAAATAACACAGGAAAGTGGTCACAACATTCTTATGTCGATATCAAAGCATTTGACGAGGAGTTTTGCAACATCTATAAGGACGTCCTTTCAGATACCGCAAACGTTAACTCTTCAGTTAGAGCATCCGCACCACTCTGCTCAAGTGTCGAAGAATCTGAAAAATTCAACGGAACAAAAACGTGGAGCGCTTTCACTGTCGCGGACTTTGGATCGTACAAAGCTGAATACGCGCCATGGTTTTAATGGAAACCATTGGACTTAATGAAGGATTGTATATACAATATTTGATTGTCTCATGTTAACTATTTAACTCGACTGATAGTTTAACTTACTATTTTTTTATTTCTATTTAGGTATAGTTTTTTATTGTACAAACTACTACAAAATAGTTCTTGTTTGTTATAAAAATTGTTTTTATTGAATTATTGTAAAATAATTAAAAAACCAAATGTTTAAAATAAAAAGTGAGAAATTAAAATAATAATTAAAAGAATTACATATTTAATTTAAAAAATGGAATAAAAAATCCCAATTTTTGTCGTGAAAATAACAAAAGAAAAAATTACAATCTTTTAATCTCTTTTTTTTCTTTACAACTTCCTAAATATCCACTTTAATTAACAAATTACTATATATTAATTAATATGTATAGTATAACAACTCATTTTTGAGTGAACACTTTTTGTCAAAGGATATTGAGGACGAACTACAAATGTAATTTGCCCGAAATATCACACCTAACAGACCTAATCTCCAACAAAAAATGATACACAAAAATTATGAAGAAAAAAGAAAAAACTTCAATGAACTAGAATCACAGTCCATGAGTCACAGGGACTATTACCTTCGTCTTAAATCACTTCAGTCTGATTTGGACCACCTCAAAATGATTGACGGGTACATCCACGAGGAACAACAAGCTCTTCGTTTGGAATTGTCTCGTGCACAAGAAGAAGTGAAAAGAGTCCAAAGTGTACCCCTTCACATTGGGCAGTTTGTCGAGATGGTCGACAAAGACACTGCGGTCGTCACGTTGTCCTCTGGAACAACACAGTACGTCAGAATCCTCTCGACGATCAACAGAGAGTTGTTGAAACCAGGAACCTCAGTTGCGCACCACAAGCAATCCAACGCACTTGTCGATGTACTCCCACCAGAGGCCGATTCTGCAATTCGTATATGACAAAGGGAGAAATGCCGAATGTCACATACGCGGACATCGGAGGGTGCGACATACAGAAACAAGAGATCAGAGAAGCTGTTGAATTGCCGTTGACACAGAGCGAGTTGTATAAGCAAATTGGTATCGACCCGCCAAGAGGATGTTTGTTGTACGGTCCGCCTGGTACTGGGAAGACCATGTTAGCCAAAGCCGTCGCACACCACACGTCTGCGGCGTTCATTCAAATTGTTGGTTCTGAGTTTGCCCAACAGTATTTGGGTGAGGGTCCAAGAATGGTGAGAGACGTCTTTCGATTGGCACGAGAGAATGCGCCTTCTATTGTTTTTATCGATGAAGTCGACTCTATTGCGACGAAGAGACACGACGCACAAAACGGCGCTGATCGGGAAGTCCAAAGAGTCTTAATGGAATTACTCACGCAAATGGATGGGTTCGACCAAACAACCAATGTCAAAATTATAATGGCCACAAACAGAGCCGATTCATTGGACCCCGCGTTACTGAGACCCGGGAGACTTGATAGAAAGATCGAATTTCCACTTCCCGACCGAAGACAAAAGAGACTCATCTTCCAAGTGTTGACGCAAAAAATGAATTTGTCGAAAGAAATTGATTTGGAGGATTTCGCGAGTCGTCCCGACCGAATTTCAGGAGCGGAAATAGCGAGTATTTGCCAAGAGGCTGGGATGCACGCGGTTCGCAAGAACAGGTATATCATCTTGCCGATTGACTTTGACAAGGCGTATAAGAAGGTTGTCAGAAAACAGACACAAGCGATGGACTTCTATAGATGAGACATTTATTGTGTTACTTTTGTTGTTTCGAAGGACTTTCGAACGGTTGCATAGCATAAATAGAATAGAATGTAATATAATAAATGTATTATCTTGGAACAATCAACTTCTTCAACACGATTTGTGCGACTACCATACTTCTCCAATTTTGAATGTCGTCTTGTGTGAATTCGAACTCGGCGTCTAATGAAATGCAATCGGCGAATTTACAGGTGAACGCGCCGCAGTCCCTTCCATTCTTTTGTTTTGGCACATCTGTTGTGACTATTTGGTAATTTGAAACACGGCCATTCTCTTCACCAAAACGAGTGACAAAGGTTAAGATCTTCTCTGCGATTTCTTGCATTGGATAGGACAAAGAATCTAAGACGGAGACTGTCTTGTCAATGTTATTTATCACTCCAAGAACCCAATGCGTATTTTTGATGTTGATTGGAATTAAGACCTTCTCATACGAAAAGAAGTTGATTTTTGTTGCCCACCTCTTTGTGTTGTTGTAATTAATTTCGTTGCCTTTTAACTTCCACGTGTCAGACAGTTTGGTGAAGAAGAATGAGTTCAAAACACCAATCACTTTCGACTGAAGAAGCGAGACAAACGCATTCACCACTTCATCACCAAACCACTCATACCCAATCGCATCAGTCAAGTCAGACATGGGAATATCACCCGATACACTTTCACCACGTTTGACCGCATCTATGACGCGTTGGAATTCTTCAGGCACTTTCGGCATCACTACCGCGCGCTTCGAGTGGTGATACGACACTTGCAAGACTTCGATATCATCAGTAAACCCAAGTGCTTGTGCTGTTGTGTGAATATTGTCTTCATACAACTTGTATTCCGTTTCAATTTGGTGTTCGTAAGCTTGTGATTCTAATTCATGTTTCCGTGCTAATATGGTGCGTATTTCTGCCTCAATTTCCATCACCCTTTTTTAGTTGTTGGCATCCTTCATTTTTCCTTTTAATTATTTTACTATATAAATATTAGTTTTTATTAGAATTGTCGAGTCTCAATTATCTAGTTTTAGTAATACTATTTTTATTATTTATGTGAATTATTCAATAAATTTTTGTTTCAAATACAATCCATATTATATTAATTATAATTATATTAATTATATTAATCAAATCCCCGTCTTTTTTAATATAATTAATTCAAAATTAATATTTTGAATTAATAAACTTGTGTTTAAAATGCGTTTTTATAATAAAAAATTATAATTCAATTTATAATTGTCAATTGTTAAATAACAAAATTTAACTATAATTATAATACAGTGTTGTAATGGAACAAGTAATTATAAAAAAACTATAACATTAGTACAATAAACATACTCAATAAAAATCAATCAAGATATTATCAAAAGTTGCTCTTTCCTCTGTATCCGTCTCTACTGTTTCCTCTATCACCATAGCCTCTTTGTCCGTTTCTATCGCCATACCCACTGTTTCTTCGGTCGCCATTTCTATCACCATATGAATTATTTCTATCGCCATTGTTTCTATCACCGCCAAATCTTCCTCCACCAAATCCGCTTCTTCTATCGCCATTATTTCTATCGCCATATGAGTTGTTTTTGTCTCCATAGTTGCTACTTCCATATCCTCCAAAACGAGTCTGTCTGTCGTTTTGTCTTCCGTAGCTTCCGTACGAGTCTCTTGAACCAAATCTGTTATGGATCTCAAGTTTCTCCGGGAGTTTCTGCGCCAAGTAGCACTCCGTAATACTTCTGTCGTTGTCTGTCGCCATATCAACAAACTTTCTGGCGATCTCTGGGAACGCATCGAAATAGATATTGTGGTCCTCAGAGATGATGACCTCTTTGATTTTGTCCATGCACCCAACACCAACAACAGTGCTGACCAAAGTTTTCACGTAGTTTGTGCTCTTGATCTCTTTTGTTGTATTAAAGAAGACTGTGAGTAACTCGGACTTCCCACACAAAAGGGAGTAGTCTGTTCCTCTTGATGGTTTATACAACAACGTAATCAACTTCGCAACAGCAATTTTGGGGTCTTTTTCTTCGTCCAAGACCTGTTGCGCCGTGTCCATATGGACGTTGTACAGACTCTTTTTGACATCCTTCATATCACCAGAAAGTCCCAAGACTGCAAATCGTGCTAACGTTTCTGGCTGTGGAACACCAATTCTTTCAAATTTGAAGTTGACGCTCTTCTCAATCATTCCAAGTGCAGAAATTTCAGCCATAGTATACAACGTGACAGTTATACCTTCTTTCCCAGCTCGAGCAGTTCTCCCGGCTCTATGGACATACTGAGGAATATCTTTAGGTACTCTGGTCATAATAATCAAGTCAACGCCACTGATATCAATGCCTCTCGCAACTACATCAGTCGCAATTAACACAGAGAATCTGTCCTCCTTAAATCCCTTAATAGTCTGTGTTCGTAACGTCTGATTGATGTCTCCGTGAATCATTTGTGCACTTAAATGCTCTCCAATTTTGATGCAAATGTCTCCACATTCCTTTTTAGTATCACAGAATACTATTGTTCGACCATTAGGGTTATACGTCTTGATCAATGGAACAATCGTCTCGACTTTATTATATGGGAAGCACATGCAAGCATAGTGTTTTGCGTTCGATGGCATCTGTGTTGTCGTACTTGTGACATCAATTTTGACGTGGTCTTCTCTCAAGTATTTCTCGGAGACTTCCGTGACCCAATCGGGCACAGTAGCTGAGAACAACAACGTTTGAATGACTTTGTTATTTGCATTCAAATTAGTCTTTTTATACCCATCTTTTCCAGACTTAGAATCGTCAGTCACATTGCCGTGAATAGCTTCAAGAATCTTATTTAAGTCTTCTTTAAATCCAATGTTCAGCATTTGATCTGCTTCATCGAGAATGATAGTCTCGATGTTTGAAAGTACCAAACTCCCTCTATTAATATGATCCAATACTCTCCCTGGTGTCCCAACAACTATATCAACTCCACTTCTGAGCTTAGAGGTCTGTGGGAACATTTCAACGCCTCCGTAGATACAAAGTAGAGAATACACGCCAAGAGAACACTTCTCAACTTCCTCAAGAATTTGTGTCGCAAGTTCTCTTGTTGGCGACAAGATGATGACTCGGGGAAGCTTTTCTCTCGCTGGGTTCGTCGCTCTCATACGCTCTAATAATGGAAGAGTGAATGAAATGGTCTTTCCACTTCCCGTCTGGGCCTTTCCAACAACATCAAGTCCTTCGTAAATAGGCGCGTATGTCGAAATTTGGATTGGGAAGAGGGACGTGATACCTCTTTCCTTAAGCATAGCTTGTGCTTCGAGAGAAATTGGAGGTTCAGTGTTATCAAAGGATCCCGGGTTTTGGTCTGGCATTGGAGACTCTGGAATCGCCGGTGAAGCAAAATTCTCTGGCGACTTTGATGAAGTCTTTGATGGTGTTTTTTTGTCGTCGCTTTCGGAGTCACTTGAAGCAACTTTTTTCTTTGGTGTTGGTTTTATGAAGTCTTTATTCGCCGATTTCTTTGATTTCTTTTCATCTTCAGATGTTTCTTCGGATGACTCGGAGTGCTCCTTTTGCACTTCTTTAGTTTGTTGTTCTTCAACTTCTTCATCTTGTTGCTTCTTTGCTGATCGTTTCTTGGTATCCTTTCCTTGTCTCTTCATGATTTGGACTTTCTGATTCCATCTCGGCTTTTAAGCCCAGTAGGGTTTATCTCATTTTTACAAATGGTTGTAAAATGATACAATACACGGTTTCCAAAAAGAGTCAATATAAAATATTTCGAGGGTTTCTCGTGGCATCAAAGTTTTTTTTTTGAGGGTTGACTCTTATTCTTTATTACCCATTTCTACATAATTAATTCATTTTTGATGGTATTTTGCATTATTTCATCTTTAATATACACTTTCGGGAATTTAATTGTTTATTAATATATTATTCATAAATTATAATTATTATTTTTAATGTTGTTCTTAAAATAGTTTGTTATTTGTTAATATTGTATAGCTTTTTTTGTTATTTGTTGTTTATTACACAAAAACTATAATTTAACTATAATTTAATTATTAAATTCAATTACAATTTCATTAATTAATACGAGTTATTAAATAATAATAAAAACTATTTATAATTAATTAATAGTAAAATATAAATAGAAAAGAATGAATCTTGTCTTCAAAAAAAAATAATTTTCATTTTAACACTTTTCAAAAATCAATAAAAGTTCAATCAAAAAAACTTTGATAAAAAAAAATTTCAAAGAAAATCTCAAATGTGATAATATAAAAATAAAATGCATTTAATAATAAAATAAACTATTCGAATAATTCATGAAATGATATAAAAATAGAACGAACACTGAAATTTGATAATTACGAAATGAGATCTAACACACATACACTGGAGTTTGTTGAGATTGTGAATTGATAGTGATGACTTGGATTTTTGGTTGAATGATATCAACGAACACGTTTCCTTTTTTTTCCGAGATTTTGACTTTATTTTCATTAAAAAAAGCGACTGGCTCTCCATTGATGATTTGTACGAACTCGGCGTCTTGTGGAGCAAACCGAATTGCTTTTTCAAGTCCTTTGTCGATCCTCACATCTTTCTCGTCGAATGGTTCTTTGCAGACACAACACTTACTCCTATCGGTATGTTTATTATACCAGTTATTCACAAAGCTTTTCAAGTCTATAGGGTGCAAGCAGTTGACTCCTCGGACCGGGTGTGTCATTTTCGATTTTGAAAATGGGCATCTAAGTGATATTGTGACGTTGTCGACCTCCTCGAATCCGTCTATAGTTGGTTTGTGTGTATAATACATATTCGATTGTAATAAGTACTCATAAAATGGTTCTGTTCGGTTACTTGTGTTTGTGATCTCTTCCAACTTAAACGAGTGGGTTGGGGTGTTCACAGATGGTGAGCGTGGTTTGGACTCTTCTCTCTTCTTCACAATTGACAAATTGGACTTTCTGATTGAAGCTATCCGTTGTAAGGAGTTTGTCCTCGAGAGGGGAGGCGTCTTGGTGATTTCTTCTCCCACATTTCTATTCATCAACTCACTAATGAACTTGGAGAAATCGGCAGAGGACATAAAGTTGCTCGTCGGTGGTATTTGGCCTGATGTGAAGACTTCACGGAAACCAAGCAAATAATTCCTGAAAAAGTTCGCATTTGGGATGACCAATGATGGCACAAACACTTCTTTTAATGACAGTTTGCACTCGGGAATATTCAAATATCCAAGGGTATCTGCTCGCCCATTTTTTTCAAGCCACTCATAGTTCTTCATTTTCTATTTTATCAGTTGAATAGAAAAAGATAGAAAAAGAGTACCTCGGTTTTTCGTTCAAACACTTTTTTATATAACCCTAATACCCTGCATTTTTGACTGGGTATTTCGTTCATAATTTTTGTATAGGCAAGTTGTATCGCGAATTGTCACTTTGCTATTGAATTTTTCTTCTTATGGTCTGAAATAATCAAATTGCATTCTTCAACAGAATTAAATATCTTATTTAAATAATCCCTTAATTCATATGAACTTTCATTAAAATTTTTTATTCATCTTTTATTCAATAGAAGATGAATCTATTTTTTACATATTTCTTTAAATTATCAAAGTATTTGAATGGTTTATTGTTATTTTCATAAAGAAATATTTAAATTAAATAGTTGAAATAATAGTATTCTTATAATTTTTTTACAAAGTTAGTACTAATTAATATTGTTAATATAAATTTTACTAAGTCAATATTATATTGAGATGACAAAGTGTTAGATTTTTAATTAAACAAAAAATAACAAAATTTTATAGTTGAATTTTATAATAATGCTAGAAAAAAAATTTCAATGTTTTGTAAAAACATTTTCAAAAAAATAATTAAAATAAATAAAAATAAAAGTTTAATAAATAAATAAACTATCTAATATTGATAATATTTTTTATTACAAATTAATTGTTTTTGTAAATAATTTTAAAACAGCAACTTTTTTAGTTTGAAAAGAATAATAAAACATAATATAATAAATACTATTCTAAGGAACACAACAAATGAATTAGCAACACTTGGAGTTAGTGTTAGTAGGTACAGTAACATCCTCCATATTCATTGCTGCAGAGCTACGCATTCTCGACATCAAATCCTTGTTTTTGTAAATGGAGTTGACAATCTCGGTGAAGACATTTTCGATCCCTTCTCCCGTCTTTGCACTACTATAAAATATTTTGAGTCCCCCATTTTGTCGACTGAAGTTCTCGACCATTTCGTCAGTCACTTTTCTATTTGGTGCGTCAATTTTATTCCCCAAAATAATAATTTCTGGTTGTTGTTTCTCATTTGCAAGTTCTCCCAACCAATATGAAATCTATTTGTTATTTTTGTGTTCAACTATTCTTCAATCCACATGAGCTCTCAACACGTTTCGTCAAACCTTTTCAAAAGTTGCCAAATCGGTAACGTCAAATGCAACAATACACCCATGTGTTCCTCGATAATATGAACCTTCGTGTTATTCCATTTTCATATGCCGTTATATATAAAACCATATAATTTATATATAACTATATATTACTATATGCAATATTCTATTGGTATTAAAATAGAGAGACGACAAACTGGTGATGTTTCTGAACTTTTCTTGTCCCGCTAAGTGTTAACACGTGTCTTTAATAACAATTTTTGTGTGTTTAAAACGATGAATAACAAACCCGTATCCCACAATCTGCGTGTTACTCTTTATCTATACAAAATTTTCTCTAGAAAACAAACTGGACCTTAATTTTTTTGGAGTCTATAGTAAAGTACTTTGCTTTAAAATCAACACCAACAGTAGACAGCAAAGACTCGTTAAACACGTTGTCACAATATCGTTCAAGAACAGCAGTCTATACATCAGAATATCATTATACATATTATATTATATTATACATCAATTGTAATAATGTTATTAACAAACTTTACCAACGCCAGACTCACCTATTATAAGAACTTTGAAAGTGTAGTCACATTGTGCGTTTGCAGTTGGTTGCATGAATTGCTTTATAAGTTCTTAAATTCCTTTGAATGTTTTAATGGCAAAAGTATGGTTAAATTATAATTTATATTTTATTAATTAATAGTTTCCTGTAGAATGAAGTAGAAGTCTGATTGTTTTATTATATCGGATGAATACCAATACTATTCGAATTTATTTGTTTTTTTAACTGTTTTAATGGAAATGCCGATTGTTATTAATATGTTTTCAAAATTATATTTTTATAATAAAATTTATTTCTTTATTAATTTATTTTTAAAATAGAAAACAAAAATGAAAATCTTAGAACATTGACTTGTAATAGACTGGAAATAATCAAACTAAATTAACACCTTTTTTGTATAATTTTAAATATTATATTTTATATTTTATATTCTATATTCTATATTCTATATTCTATATTATATTAATAATAATGATTTTGACAATTATAGTTAAAACAACAAAATGTTACAAACTATACTACTTGGTTATTTTATTTAAAAAATATAATATATTATTTAATAAAACAAAAATATAAATCTATTTTTTCTATACTTAACAAAAACAAAAATTCAAACATAAGTATTATAAATATATCGTAAAATAAACCAAAATTAAACTATATAAAAAAGTATACTAAATAATAGTAGACAATGTTATTGTATATGTTGTTAAGTGTTGTGTCTTCTACTGAATGGCCCGAGTCGTATAGTGGTGCTCATTACGTATTGCCCACTTTATTGATATTTGGAATTGGGTTTGCCATGCTTGTAATATGTTCGATTGTTTTTGCGCTTGTTCTGACACTTCGCGAATGGTTGATCAAACGTAAAGCGACAACCCAAGTCTCTGATTTAGAGAAGATTAACACCCCAATCCCAGATGAAAAGTAGTCTAATTACATTTTTTATTATATATATTAATAATTAATATAATTTATTGAATCGTATAGTATAAATTATTACATATTATAATATAATTTATAATATAAATATAAGTTATAAAAGAATTATAAACAGATTGTTTGGCTCTCGTGTTCAGTTTATGTGAGATACTCTCTCGCAGTCCATATACCGGTTATTTTTAATACTAAAACATGGAATGGTCTCTATCTGGTGTGTTCCAGTACAATTTTCGTCTTGGCCTTTATAAGTGTTAATGGTTACTATCATGTCATCAACAGTGACTATATACCTCTTGTCTGATATACCAAGCGCACACCCAGTTAAAAGGTAACTATTAATACCATGCTCTTTGCTTGCCGTCAGTTTATAATTTGCTCCAACCACTTTGGGAAGAACTGGAGATGAAATAAATGTCTGTAATTTGGTGAAGCCAGTCTTGACCAAAAGCGTCTTTGTAAGGTATTGAGTGCAATCCAAGTCTTCGTAAACTAAAGAAACCAATTGCCCTTTTTCAAAGTAAACTTTAACATGAACGCCATCTTCAGTTTCATAACACACTCCTTCTTCCATGTCAATCAAAGAGTCACCAACCGACGTTAAAAAGTGGCGAGAAGATACGGTAGATATTATGAGTATACAACAAAGAATGGAAAGAGGGGAAGACATTATTATTTTAGTGTTTTTTTGATTGAGTCAATGATAAATACCACGGAAAATGAATTTAACTATTTAAAAATAGAAAATCCATCAAATAAGCTATTTTTATAAATAAAGTTTTTAATAGATGGAAATGTTTCGATAGTATGCTTTAATTTAGACAATTTTACTGGAAATTCAGAGGAAAAATATTTACTCTTCTATTTATAAACAAAACGATTGATAAAAAAACAATGCAAATTGTCTGAATCATTTTTTGTTCGTGTAAAACAAGTTTGTTAATGGTTTATTTATTAACTAAAAAAATTATATTACTATTAATTATGTTATTATATTATAAACTATTTGTTAACCATAGTAATAATTGCTTCACATTATTAAACACAGAATTATTTTATTCAGTTTTATGATTTTTTGAAATAGACAATCAATCAACTCTTTTTAATAACAAAATAACAATCAGTAATAATATTTTAATTAAATAGTTTGATAATTTATTAATATAATTATTTATTAATATCAATTTAATTTATTTCGAAATTAAAAAAATCAATAAAAAACAATAAAAAATAATAATTTGTGAATGATAAAAATTTTGCAATAGTTAAAATAAAGTCCTTGTTATTTTTGTTTTGGCCTGTTATTACTAAAATATTAATTCAATTTCAGATGATTTTTCCTTTTTGGCTTGTGTAATGTTATGCACATAATATAACCTTTAAAAAATGGAAAATTATATAATAAACTCGAGTTTTCCCGATTTTTAACCCACTTGAATTTTGTTCAATGTTATTTAAGGTGTTAATAGAAAGAGCGACGATTCAAAAATTAAAAAAAAAACTCTTCTGTTGTTTTTTAAAAATTGAATTATTTTTTTTTGTTTTCATTTCGGCTTTTTTCTTTTTTTGTTATTATATCACCATAAAAAAACAATAAAAAATTTTAAAATAAGCGAACAACACAGTTTACAATACATACAAGATAATTTAAAAAACCCAAATACAAAAAAAAATCAGTCAATCAGTGTCTAATGAGCAATCCCTTAACAGCGAGCACCCACTTTCTGACATCTGGATTAATGTGGTAACGCAGTAAATCGAATTCCCACAAACACGAATCCGCAGCCTTTGAGTGGTCCGGTTGATCCGTTTCATTGTTAAATTCTAAAAGTTAAACTTTACATAACAAAGACTCGATAAGTCTCTTTCAATCTATAGAAATAATATATAATTATATAATAAGAATAATTATACAAAATAATACAAACCAGCTATATCGCCCTCTTCGTCTATCATATTAATGAATGTATCTTTATACCTCTTAAACATGTAAGTCATCACCGTTCGTAAATCCAGTGCTATTGACGCGTCACAATTCAACATAAGGAGTAACAGTCGTTTCACAAACGCCGCCACTCGGAGTGGGGGGACCGTCTTGATGTCCAACAACATTATTTTCAAGGACCCAACAAGCATATCTCTATTCTTCACGTTGTCCTTCCCTATGAAGTCCTTTTGTTCAAATGCAATTTGTCCGATCGTCTTATAGAGCGCGTCATAGAATTTAACGTTATCGACGTTGATCATGAAACTTTGCAATTTCATCGTGTTGAAAATGGTATAACAGACTCGCACAGTATCGAGCGGACACAACCCATCTGCCTTCTTTGTCAGCAATTGTTCTAAAAGTTTGATGATGTCCATTAAGAAGTCGTAATTGATTTTATACGTGTGTAGTGCCATTCCCTCAAGTACCATAGGTATCATCGGCGAATCCAAATTCGTTTTCAATATTCTAAAATATGTTCTGAAGACGGTATCAAGTACTAACATGTTATACTTTTTCTTTTCCTCTGAACTGTATTTCGCCTCAACTAGTCGAACATCCTTATCCAACTTCCGTTCAATTCTCAAGACTTTCAATTGTCTTCTTGTAAATTGTCCCTTAGTGTTGACCTTCTTCCTCTCTTCTTTTCTTTCTATATGTCATTCATATATTCTCTTTCAGACGTTTCAATAGAATACAATACAACAGTGAAATAAAGAAATCGAATAATATAATAATATTTTAGTATAAAAATATTATAATATTATTAAAATAATATAATAATAATATATAATAATATATAATAATAAGATTATAATATTATAA